CAGTTTCGCACGACAAGAACTCAAGAATATGAAGTTTTCCTAAAGGTTCTGCAGCCTCCCAAGGATAAATACAGACGTCTCCGTACCGATCCGCGAGACTCTACTAAACCTGCTCATGACTCGTGAGACCTATGTAACCTAGGCTCTGATACTAACATGTCACGACCCAAAAACCAACCTGATCGTGATGGCGCATATCGTAGAACTAGGCCAGCCACTTATTTTGAATTACTCTATTTTCCAATTGAAAAGCTTAAGAAAACATCATGTTTTAACAGAAATCCAATGATATAAAAATAGAAGTTCCAAAACCAGCGGAAAGAAAATACAAGCCCGACCTCGGATGTTACCAGTCATGAGCAAAAACTACTACAACTGTTCGAAATAACAAGACTAGTACAGTCTGAAAATATCCAACATATAAACTAGAGGAAGATAGGGATGGAGAAGGCGGAACTGCGGTCGCCAAGCAGCTACCTAGCAATCTCCAAGTGAAAGTCTGCACAATATAATCAGCAGCCGTTACCGTGACCAGAGACACCTGGATCTGCACACAAGGTGCAGGGGGTATCGTGAGTACACCAACTCAGTAAGTAACAAGTCCAACCTATGGACTGACAGGTAGTGACGGACCAAACCTCAACAGGTAATAACATATATCTGAATAGGAAAAGTAGACATGATTACAGTTCAAGTAAAGTTCAATAGTATTTAAATGCAATCGGAACAATACGAAGTTCAAAACTCAGAGATTTTACATATACCAATGCACAACTAGCATGATCAATGTTCCATGAACCTCCACTCACAAGTACTCAACCCCTCGGTACTGTATATGGCCATCCGGCCCAGGGAAGATCCATCCCGGAATATACATCACTGACCGCAGTCATCCAGTACCGAGGACACATGCCAATCCAGCCTCACGGAGAAGATCCATCTCCCGGTATAATACTTCGGACAAGATCCATGTCCAGGGAAGATCCATCCCTCAATATCATCATCTGCGCTCACTGGGGGTGTAAAGACTCCGGAGGGGCTTCTCTCATTAGCCCAAGCGCTATAACAAAGCCAACGAAGGCTTGTTCAATATCTCGCTGCGGTGTGCAGCCCAATCTCATATTGTCACTCAATATCAGGCTCTCGGCCTCCCTTAGTCATAACTCACCAGTCTCACACACGGGCTCCAAATGTCATGATACTAGCCCGGTCGACAATAAAATGTGGCAAATAGTAATAATCGAGACTGAGACATGATATAATATGCATGAAAAGGACTGAGTACAGAATATCAGTAAAATAAATGATATGACAGCAAGAAACGACCTCTTGGGTCTCAATAATATCGGCGTGAAGCCTTAACATGATAATCAGCATGATTTACAGCTCAACAACTAGATCACATAATTACAGCACAGATATCAGTAAAAAAGAACCACTAAGCGGTGTTCTCGAATGATCCAGGCCGCATTTCCCACGGTGCACACCCATACGCCCGTCAATTGGCATAGCATCACCTTCGTAATAATCATAGAACACATAGTTCGGGGTTTCAAACCCGCAGAACCAAGATTGGAAGCGTTACTTACCTCAAGCCAAGCCAAACTCTAGCCCGCGACGCCCTTTCCTCTCGATTCGGCCTCCAAATGCCTCGAAATCTAACCAAAATCAGTTCATAACCATCAATATATGCTAAAGGAGTGAAACCCACACGAAATTGATCAAATTACAACACAAATCCCGAAATTGACCAAATCCGAACCCCGGGCCCACGTCTCGAAATCCGACAAAATTTACATCAATGGAATCCTTATTCCCCCACGAGTTCATTCATACCAAAAATACCAAAATCCGACCACAAATGACCCCTCAAATTCCTAATTTTAGGTCTCCAATTTTTCCAAGCCCTAACCCTCATTCTGCTACTGATTTTCACATAGATTTCAAGCTTACAACCTTAAAAATCATCATAAAAACGAGTTTAGGGATCAAGGACCTTACCTCTAAGAAACCCTCTTGAATTCTCCCTTGAATTTGCTCTCCAAAGCTTCTTCCCGTTTGAAATGTTATGAAAAATAACCCAAATTCGCGAAGGGTGAAATATATATGTTCTGACCCAGCAAAACCGCATCTGCCGTCTAATTATCGCACCTGCAGACCTGCACCTGCGGTCCCAGGTGCGCATCTGCGGATTTCACTTATCCGCCCAGCCACCGCACCTGCGATCAAATTCTCGTACCTGCACCATTGCAGGTGCGCCCAAAGTTCTGCATCTGCGGCTCCAACCTTTCCCTCTCTTGGCCGCATCAGCGACTTCATTTCCGCTTCTGCGGGCCCTCACCTGCGGTTCCCAAGCCGCAGGTGTGGTTATGACAGGAACTGTGCACTTTAGCTGCCAATTCTAACTCAAAACCTCCCGTCAGCCACCCGAAATCACCTCGAGGCCCCCGGGACCTCAAACAAAAGCACGAGCAAGTCATACACCACCTTCCAAACTTGTACCAATCTTCAAAATACCTAAAACATCGGAACATCAAATTAACCATGGATTCAAGCCTAAGAACTCTAAAAACTTCCGAGTTCCGCTTTTGATCAAAAAGCCTATCAAACCTCGTCCGAATGACCTAAAATTTTGCACATAGATCCCATATGACAGAACGAACCTACTGCCACTCCGGGAATTCCATTCTGACCCCGATATCAAAATCTATCCTATCAACCGGAAAACGCCAAAAATCCTTTTTCGCCAATTCAAGCCTAAATCTACTGCGGACCTCCAAAACACATTCCGATCGCGCTCCTAAGTCCAAAATCACCTCCCGAAGCTATCCGAATCATAAAAACCAAATTCCGGGATCGTTTGCTCACAAGTCAACTTTCGGTTGACTTTTCCAACTAAAGACCAACTTAAGAGACTAAGTGTCTCAAACCTTCCCAAAACCATTCCGGATTCGAACTGACTAACCCAATACCACATATTACAGATGAGCAAAGCATAAAGAAGCAGAAATGGGGGAAACTGGGCGGTAACTCATGAAACGACCGGCCGGATCGTTAAATGACTCCTATTCTATTAAGGAAGGGACATCATTTGGTAAATATTTAGGGTTTCCAATGTTCCAAGAAAGACCTAAAAATGCAGACTTTCAATTCCTTCTAGATAATTTTAAGAATAGACTAGCGGGATGGAAAACAAACTTCCTAGTTATGACAGGCTGCACTACTCTTATTAAATCTACTCTGAACAATCTACCCAACCATATTATGCAGTATATTCAGATTCCAACGCATATCACTAATAAAATGGAGCAATTCCATTTGACTTAGATCGTAATATAAAACTTTTAATTCAAGCTACATATGTATCTAAATTGCGTAATAAGGGAGACCAAATCTACTGGGGTCTGACACCAATGGGAAATTTTACGGTGCACTCCATGTATACCAAATGAGAATTGGAGGCACAACAACTTACGATTAATTCAAATACTTTTTCTTGGAGTTGGAAACTTCCTGTTCATCCGAAAATTAAAAGTTTTATCTGGCTTCTATGCCACAATAGGCTACCAACCCGACTTTTCTTAAAAAATACTAAAATCATCCAGGATGCAACTTGCTTTTACTGTCAAAGGGAGGAAGAATCAATAAAACACATTTTCCTTGAATGTGCAAATGCTAGGAAATATTGGCAGGAATTAGGACTCATGCACCATATTAATCACATTACCCACTTTTCAGTCACACAAAGTTGGTTACGTAAGCTAATAAGCTATAAAGATATTAAACTCCCTTTCAACATAAATCCTTATACCTACTTACCACTTAGCTTATGGAATATTTGGATAACACGAAACAATAATCTTTACAACATGACTAAGGATAACATTCTTCTCAAAGACACATCTCAACAAGCAGCTAAATACACCTACTTGGTTGCTTCTACGCATAAGACTAAGCATAAAAGAAAAATTACTAAAAATATTAAATGGAACCCCCCAAATACCAACTTTTATAAGCTCAATACAGATGGAGCACATTCAGCCACCACTGTTGGGATTGGAGGACTAATTAGAAATTCCAAAGCTGAATGGATATTGGGTTTCTCAGATCTGCACCACACGACTCATCCACCTCGGCAGAACTCTATGCATTAACTCAGGCCTAAAATTGGCTTATGAAAATAACATAAGGCCACTGGAGGTGGAGGTGGATGCAATGGAAGTTACCATGCTAATACATACTGATAATATTGCATTCTCTAACATGATTAATGACTGCAGGTACTATTTGGGCCAGCTAGGTAATCCTGTAGTGCAGCATACGTACAGAGAACAAAACATGGTAGCAGATCAGCTAGCAAAGGTAGGCCAAAATTTTGGAAATGACTATACGCCAAGTGTGTTTGAAGATATTCCAACTTTCGTTGCGCAAATTTTTGAGAAAGACAAGGAATGTTTGGCACGACCTCCACCATGCCAAGGGACTGCTTGGCAAAATCACAGTGGCAATCTTGATCAGCCACCTTCATATGTAATTAGTTGTCATAATGATAATTCCACTAGGAAGACCATAACAACCGTAACTATTAGTAGCAATCTAGTACTTTGTAATAGCACAATAGTTTGTGATAGGGTGCCGGTCAGGCCCCAACCTTCTGTACGCATTACTTAATTATTAATATATCTTTCAGACCAAAAAAGAAAACTTAAAATTAGTGGTTTCAATTTTTTATTTTTATTTTTATTTTAACACTTTTATACATTTATTAAAATTAATACAGGTTTAACGGCTTCGAATTTCTTTGACAAATAGTAATTGTTTAATCCCTTTCCAATTCTTTTTGATTGGGGTTGGAGAGCGATCCATGAAGGATTTTACCATTGGAGAAAACATTAGCAAATGTTTTGTCATTTCTTTTCTCCAATTATCGATATTCATATCACTAATACTATGTTTTAAGTACATTTTTATTTTAATGCCCTAAAAGGCTGAAATACGCAAGTTTCCCCCGCCGTTTATATAGAGGCAGTGAAGTTCCAAGAGCAAAAAAGAAAAGGAGACTATAGAGAGTATGGCTATGGCTCTTCGAGTTAGACGCCTGAAAGAAGCTTATAGGCTTCTCCCTCTCATTTCTCCTGGCAATATACTCGTAAAGGAGAGCAATTTGCTTCCGCCTCTTTTGAATTTATCATGTGCAGACATCAATACAAAGTGTGGATATATATTTCATCAGGATCAGAGGTAACAATTTCTGTTTGCTGGATACGCCAATTTGAAATTTCTTATAAAAAGTAATATTTCCACTAGAAAGCGTGTTCATGATTTGTATATTTGAAGGCAATTGCATTTACTATTTTTTTGTTTTGAACTTTTACCTATTAATTTTGTATCTTTTGTTTTTATTGCTCCATATAGTGGTTTGAATATTTTTTTAAGCTGCTATTTTGGAGGTTGTAGTAGTCTTCACTTGTACTTGACAGTCTTTTTCAGGTATTCAACTACTATATCAGAAGCAGTGCCAGAAGAGCCTGTTGTACAACTCGATTTCCCTTCCTTCATTAAGTCTGCTATTGATAAGCCTGAAGGTGAGCTACTCTCACTTGGTAGATGCGATTTAGTTATTTCGAGGAAACTTGTGACGATGAAACCACATACTGAGGTCACATTTTGATTATGTTTGGCTACTTTTATCTGGCAAAAAGTCATAAGTTCTTGGAATATTTCATTGATTTGGTGGTATTGGTATCTAAACATTTGATGGATATTTCCAACAAACTAAGTTGATAAGCCAAGTTAAAGAAACTTATTTATGAAGAAAGAAGAAAACAACCTGAGCTGGAGGAAATTTTTAAGTAGCTTCGCTTTCCTGTATGACGGTGTTGTGAAGAGCGTGAAGCGAGGAAAAGCGACAAGCCCTTTTTCGCTTAAAGCGTTAAGCGGAATTAAAAGAAATATTAAAATAAATACTGCATAGACAACACATGTAACTGTAAGCAAATGCTCAATAATTCAATGTAAAAACTAAAGAGTAGCGTCAATGAAAGCACAAAATGAGCATCCTATTCTTGTACAAGATTGTCAAATTCTTGTATTCCACTATCATTACTATTTTGCTTGCCATCTTCTTCTTCTGGTGCCATTAAAAGAACAACTGAAGAACAAAAAAAAAAAAATTGGCAGTCACAACAACTGTAGAAAAACTGAAGAACAAAAAAAAAAATTGGCAGCAACTCGTTTTAATTTATAGCCCAAAAAACGAAACAAAAAAGAAGAAGAAGAAGAGAATGAGAAAAAGAAGAAGAACTGAAGAAGGATGCTGGCTGTAATGTTTCTTAGTAAATCATACGACTTCTATCTGAAAGGAGGAGGAGGAGGATACAAAATTTTAGCAAAAAGTGAAAGTATTGGTCTATAGTCTGCTGGCTGTAATGATGGTTGTTTCTTAGTAAATCATACGACTTCTATCTGAAAGGAGGAGGAGGAGGAGGAGGAGGAGGAGGAGGATACAAAATCTTAGCAAAAAGTGAAAGTATGGTCTATAGTCTGCTGGCTGTAATGATGGTTGTTTCTTAGTAAATCATACGACTTCTATCTGAAAGAATATCATGTCAAATTTGCCTTCGTCATTCCTCGTCTCCTCCACTTGTTTTTAATGGAATGCATGCAAGCAGTGGATTATGACAATGTTGTTCATGAAATTCTTGGTTAAGCCATCAATATCATTCTTTATTATGTTTTGAATACTTCATGTCTATTGCTTAACTTTTGGTGTTACAAAGTATTTCATTATCTGGTTGTAACTGGATAGATGTGCACAGTTGTCTCATGTCCGTTGCTCTGAACTTTATTCCTGAATGATTTGAACAAAATGTGCAGGCCCTTCTCATTGTTGGTTAAATGGAATTCCGGATAAGAAATTTTTGAAAGATGGCATCTTCCTAGTGCTCGTAACTGGATTCCTAGATAGTTCTTCAATCACCGAGGCAAACTTTGTTAGCATGCTTGAGAAAGTGAAGTTTCTCCAGCAGAGGTAGAGTAGATCCTTAAACAAACTTCTTTTGTCTTAGTTTTCTTATAAACATCTTTTTACAGATCTGTGCTTTCTTCTAATGTTGCAGATATCCTTTCCTTCAAATAATTGGTTACCAGGGTATCGAGAAGATCCCACTTTGCTCCAGTGATGTATGCTCACATCTGCTTGGGAGAACCTTGAAGGGAAACATTGCTTTTCCTCTTCTGCTATCTTACAAGGATGTTCTGGAGGTATATTCACAGAATTTTGCTGCTCAATTTGTGCAGTTCACAATATAATTTTCAATCTGTTTTATCATACTATAGTGTCATACGACAGCATAGCTGTCTCAAAGTGCTGGACCTTCTTTTGAAGTATTGTACTTAGTCAGAAGGGGGTTGCATATCTGTCTATTCAGTGAGATCTGAACATTCTGTTATAAGTGGTACCTGGATCCTGACCCTTCTTATATTGGTTTGCTAACTTGTGGTCTCTGTTAGTATAAGTGTATCCATCGGTATTTCCTTGCTAATGTTCTAAAGAAAGCAAGATAAACTCTATCATGTTAAGGAATAATTTTCGATTGTTTGGTAGGTTATTGAAACATTTTTTTCATGTCCCGTCATGGAGTTATGTATGACACTGGTTTTTTAACAGGGAGAGAAAGATTAGTAAATCTCTTTTAAGTCCTAACAAAAAATATGAAAATCGATATACATTGTAAACTAAAGAACAATGCTTCAAAAGTTTGTTTAACATTCTTAGAAAGTCAAATTGTGGACCAAATGGATGTACAGAACTTAGCATAACCTCATCATTAAACTTTGATTTTATTTACAGTATTGGTCAAGTAGTTCGAATTTTGTGTTAGGCTTTTGCTAATCTCCTTTAATGTGCAAAGGACCACTTATCTGGTAGTTAGGCTTAGAAATGTGTCGGCATTAGAGCTAATTGGCATTATGCTAGAAGATGCAACTGGTATTGTGGGTAAGTACATGTCATCTATCTTTTTGTTCACGCTTTTAGATATGGTTCAGGACTGGAAATATTGTGCTTAATCGTTAAGTTTGCGGCTCCCTCATTAAAAACTTGTTGGTCGGTGTTGGGTTAAGATCTGGCTTCTGATTCTTGTAATTTGTCCATGTTTTTTGGGTCTTGAGTATTACTTTGTTGCTTGGTGCCTTCCATACAGTTAAATTTTGCATATGCGTATAATAAACATTTGCTTTTGGGTGATATTTGCTCTTGGCCCTAATATCCGCGTTTCTGCAACCTTTATTTCATTTACTCATGTTCTGATTGTCACTGGATTCATTCATTAGTTATGAATTTGACATACTATTCCCTTTGTTAGATTGCTAGTGAGGCCTGCTATGTGATGTTTAAAGGTTTGAAGAGTCCTTCAATCTATTATGGGAACGATGCAGAAATGGTGATTCTAGACAAAGGTATGCTGTGTTTCCCTCTTTCATATCCGGCATGCTTTTGGAATGGGATCGGGTGTTTTCACGTCTTACCATAGTGCCGGCTTTGTCTTGATTTCCGATTGATGAACAAGAAGGAAAATGGAATAATTCTATTTTTTACTCGCCCCAGGCTACGTGTCCTTTTATTTTTATGAAGTAAATATATTCATTAATGGCATCGAGAAGATGAAAAAAGTACAAAAGTGATTCTGATAGCTCCATTACATGAGAATTAGGCTAAGACTAGGGAGCTTAAAAATCCAAAAAATGGTCAATGTTATCTACAGGGGACAGCTTGCACCAGTTAAACAGATTCATAAAACACCTAGCTTTCAAAAGCGATTTGGAGTTGAGACACCATCAAAACATCTATGATTTCTTTCCATCCATAGAGACCAAAAAATACTTGCTGGAACCATTCACCATATGTTCTTGATGGTTTTATCAACTTTCCAGCTTTCATAAGCTTCCTTTACTTTATTGGCATGACCCAGTTAAGTCCAAAAATCGAGCAAAACATGTTCCTAAGATCTGCTGCTACTCTAGATTGGAGAAGAAGGTGACTGATGCTTTCTAAGTTGAGAAGACACATGTAACATCTATTTACAAGCTGAATGTTCCTTCTACAGAGGTTATCCTGGGTCAAACATGCCTCATTTAGTGCTGTCCAACTAAAGCAAATTATTTTTGTGGGTAGCTTTGTTGTCCAAATTAGCTTCCAGGGCCAGTTATCTATCATTGCATTTTTGGCACATGCATGGTTTTATCCTGCTTTAATTCCCTCATCTCAATCTGTCAACTTCCTGAGTATTCATTGTGCATCTCTCTAGCTTTGAAAGTAGTTGCAGTAGATAATTGAGTTTACAGTTGTGGACATTCCTCCTCAATTCCTAGGAGTTACCTGCTCTATTCTGTGAAATTGTTGAATCTGGATCAACTTTAATCAAAAAAAGATTAGGGAATTCCTCTTTTAGAATAATGCTGTCCAACCATTTGTTCTTCCATATATTGATATGAACTCCATTTCGCACTTTGAATTATGGGTTCTTCCATAAGTTGCATATGCTTTTCCACAAGCCTACTCCAAGTGGCTGTCTTGGGAATTTTGAGCACCAGTGGTTCTCCACCCACCATTTTGTCTTAATTATGGCTCAACACGCCCCCTCATGTATTAGCCTATTTCTTTTTCTTTTTTTCAGGGGCTAGACACTTGTACTATATATTTGCGTGGTAGTGAGATTTGAACCTGGGACATCTTGCCTACTCCGATACCATGTAAAGAAGATGGACTTTAGGCCTAACTCAATCCCAGAAACTAGCTCATGATATGAGGATTGCCTAAAACCATATCAGCAGACAACAACCCATTCTCTCAACCAGTGTGGGACCTTCTAAGAATGGGGTCCAACATTGGATAGTCTGACTCGAAATAGCTAACGTATCTGTAAAAATTTCGCTGGAAAACTAGGGAACATATGCTCTGATCCTTGTCGGAACCTACTCCAGTGGTCAAATCCGCAGAACTCCAGATGGTTCAAGTTGGAATGAGAAATTGATCCTTAAGAGCAAAGCCTCATCCTCGAAAAATGAGATCTTGTTGGCGCGTGAGATTTGTATTACCAGCGTTACTCATTGGATTTTGCTTAGCGGAAAATATTGGGTTTTTGTGGTGATGTTGGATATTGCACATCACTCATGAAAAGAAGTTAAGATCTGATAACTTTCAGCCACCGGAAAATGCACGGCAATGATATTTTCTTTCTGAATGTTGTTTGTTACTGCGCAACGAATAAAGGCTTTGATACTTCAATGAACTGTGTGACCTTCTCGTCTGAACGTTTAAGTTATTAGAAAGAACACAGTTTATTTACTTAATCATATATGTCTCAACATAATATATAAGTAAATGCAATACAGAGAAATTAGCCTCAATTGTTGGGTAATGCATACCCTATAGCATTAGGTATTGCTAGTCAAGTTGCTAGATTTAAAACTAGAACTTCAACAACTTGCTAAGATTGAAGAGGTCTCATGGAGGCAAAATCTAGATGCTTAAGGCTTAAAGAAGGGGACATATACACCAAGTATTTTCAGAAAATGGCAAACTCTCACGGAAGGAACACCTATATTGACAAGCTCAAAATTGGCAATGAAATCATTGAAGAGAGGGGGCAGATTAAGGAGGAAATTTTAGACTTCTATCAAAAGCTCTATACTGAAAATGAGCCTTGGAGACCAATTGTAGACTTTGAAGATCTGGCAAGTATCGCAAGTATCACTGAAGAAGAAAAGATAGAACTGGAAAAAGCTTTTGAAGAAGAGGAGATTCTAGCAATTATTCAATCATGTGCACTTGACAAGGCATCGGGTCCGGATGGCTATATAATGGCCTTCTTCCAAAAGGCATGGAGAATCATCAAGGCAGATGTAATTCAGGCACTCAACCATTTTCCTCAACACTGTCATATGGTTAAGTCTTGCAATGCCTCATCCATTGCTTTAATTCCTAAAAGGAAAGGAGCAATTGAGCTCATGGATTATAGACCAATAAGCCTAATTGACAGTGTCTATAAAATAGCTGCAAAGTTACTGGCTGAAAGATGGAAAAAAGTGATTGGGAAACTTATTTCTGGACATCAAAATGCCTTCATCAAAGGCAAGCAAATCACAGATGCAGCCTTAATTGCCAACGAAGTTCTTGACTAGAAACTGGAGAGAGGTGAATCAGGCATCCTTTGTAAGTTGGACATAGAGAAGGCCTTTGATCAACTCAACTGGAAATTCCTCATCACAATGCTAAGGAAGATGAGATTTGGTGATAGATGGATCAAATGGATTAAATTCTGCATTAGAACTGCGAAATACTCAGTCTTGGTCAACTCCAGCCCAGTTGGTTTTTTTTTCTTCCTACAGAAAGGTATCAGGCAGGGAGACCCTCTCTCCCCCTTTCTCTTTATTTTGGCTATGGAAGGGTTAAGTAGAATGCTTGAAAAAGCAAGAGACCTGCAATGGATAAAAGGTTTTGAAGTAGGCACTAGTCAAAGGAATGTAATTACAATCTCACATACCCTCATTTTTTGTGGAGCAGAGTCCCAGGTGCTACACTTAAATCTAACACTTCTTATTTTTGAGGCACTATTAGGGCTACACATTAATATGATGAAAAGCTACATTTATCCGGTTAATAATGTTCAGATTTGGAGACTCGGCAAACGTCTTGTGTTGCAACATTTGTACTTTTCCAACAACATACCTTGGGCTACCACTTGGTGCTAAATTCAGGTCAACTGAAATTTGGAATGGTATATAGGAGAATTTTGAAAAAAGGTTGGCTACTTGGCAGATGCAATACCTCTCAATGGGTGACAGACTCGCGCTTATCAATAGTGTTCGGGACAACATCAACACATATTTTATGTCATTATTCCCCATCCCAGGCAAGGTGAAAAAACAACTGGACAAGATTAGAAGGAATTTCTTTTGGGAAGGTAGCAGCGAAACATACAAGTTTCATTTGGTCAAAGGGCCAAAAATCACACAACCTAAGTGGGCGTTTGGACATAAGAATTGTAAAGTCGATGTTTGAGAGATGTAGCTCCTACTACGGTGTTCAGTCTATTTGTAGTGAATTAACTACACCTTTTCATCACCTACAAAAGACATAACTCCCGTGGATCTCGGGGATCCCTCTTTCTCGGGGTATTTCCTGGGTCAAGTATTCCGCTCGTTTGATGTCAAAATTCCAGAAAAAAAAGTGAACAAGCGAAAATGGTATTTGAAAATTAGAGCTGTGTTTGGCTGTTTTTGAATTTTTGTGAGTGATCTGAAGTGAAAATTTTGAAAAACGGCTTTTTGGAGTTTTCAAATTTTTGGAAAATACTAAAATTCATCTTCAAGTGAAAATTGAAAATTTTATGGCCAACACTCATTTCGAAAAGAAGTGAAAAATTTTCGGCAAAAAAGTGATTTTTTTTCTATGGCCAAACGGGCCCTAAATCCCTTGGTGGTACGGGCATAAAATCTAGCCATCCACAGCAAATGCATGCTTATAAAATGGCTTTGGATATGTGGTCAGGAATCACCTGCTCTTTGGAAGGATGTGGTGGCTGCAAAGCATGGTGTGCAGAGCCATTGGTGCACCAAAACCTGTAGAGCTCCACATGGTGTAGGATTGTGGAAGAACATAACCAAACTGTGGGATGAATTTTACCTGCAGGTTCCAGGTTGGTAATGGCACAAACATAAAGTTTTGGAAAGACAAGTGGCTGGGGAATTCAGCTTTGCAAACTGATTATCCTAATCTTTTCCTGATCTCCATTAATCCAGACTCCACCATCTCACAAAATAGAGCAGACAATGCATGTAACCCACAACTCAGAAGGAACCTACAGGATTGGGAGCTTGAAGAACCTACTCAACTTACTTGAAAGATTAGGAAACTGCATAACCAATGAGCGGATTTCAGACAGACTAAGATGGGGTGATAAAGAAGATGGTCTATACTCTGTTAAAGCAGGATATTCAACTCTTTCTGCCCAGAATGAGATGGTGGATAATTGGTCATGGAAATTAATCTGGAAAATGAAATTACCCCCTAAGGTGATTTGTTTCAGCTGGACAACACTCTACGTAGCATGTTTGGCTCAAGACAATCTCCGAAGAAGGAACATACACATTGTCAACGGATGCTATATGTGCCATCGGAACATAGAAACCAACAGTCATCTTTTATTACATTGTGCGGTTGCTACGGATATCTGGAACATCTTCTTTTCAGTTTTTGGACTCAGTTGGGTCATGCCTGAGAGGATTAAGGATGCCTTCATATGTTGGAGTTCTTGGAAAGTTGGTAGGTTCATCAGGAAGATCTGGAAAATGATTCCTGCCTGTATTTTTTGGTGTATCTGGACAGAAAGGAACCGAAGATGTTTTGATGAAATATCAACTCCTAATCACACTCTCAAGGCTAATTGTCTTTTATTTGTATGTAGCTGGACTGCTGGAGTGATCTCTTTCCTGTAAACTCCACTGATAAGTATTTGGACTTTGTTAGCTCCTTATCTTTAGTATAGGGCACATTGTAATTGAGCTAACAAACTCACTTTTGCATTTACTATCTTTTTTACTATTTGCATCTACTTGATGCCATTAATGATATCCCTTACTTCATCCCCCCAAAAAAAAATGTTATGGCTCATCCTTGTAATGGAGGACAAGCCATACCCTGTCTAACTGATATTGCTTTTTCTGCCTCAGGAATCAGGAGAAGAAGTTAAGAAAAATAGTTACTGGTTTCGTTAACTAAATAGAAATTGAACTCCTTGTATATTGTCTGTGTGTATTTTGAGCAGCACTTGCATTGTATTGGTCTTTCTCCCATCTATATCAACTGCACCCTTTGTATAGCATGTAGAATATTTTTCATTCATGTTTCCCATATGCTCTTCCTGATATTCTGAGTTTCTATAGTAAGTTTGATTACTTTATCTTCGGGGATTAAGGATGCAGACCAACTAAAAAGAGTAGAATAGTTACAATGTTACCTTGCTTTCCATGTTTTTATATGCTTCATTTTTCCATAAAATAGAGTTTCTGTATGTCCATTTTCCTTCTATTGTCATAGTACTGAGGTTCTTTCTTACCTTCTGCGATATCAGCAATCAAGGATTTCAGAGCGCAAGAGAGTGAGGCCCCTAAGATCCTGACAAGCACATGGGTAAAGCCAACTGATGAATTCAAGGAACCACCTCTCTGTTTCCCCTTGCGAAACCTGTTTCTTTACTTTCCAGGTAGAGGTTCCCCTGTTGAGCTGTCCCATACTGTTGATTTAGCACTTTTTTAAAAGATTATTATGAACATCACCATCTATTAATTACTGGGGAGGTGCAAGGATTTCTGCCTCAAATGTTCAACTTGTGTGTTCTGCCGTCAGTAAGAAATTATGAAGTACATCCCCCCTTCCTCCCTCGTCTTCTTGTTGCCATGTAGAAAGAGGGATAATCAGATAAGAACAGAACAGAACAATTAACTACCTGAAGAAGCAATCAAATTCAAGGTTAATTTGTATGGAATGGTGAATTATTGCTCTTCCAACTGAAAGGTAGAGAGGATAACATTGTATTTCATGTTACTCATCAAAGAGTAGTTTGTTAAACTATCAAATTAAATGTTGATAATGTTCAGTGCATAAAGCAGTGCTATAATAGAAAGTGGTAAAGAGGTACCCAGTCGGTGTTCTCTTTCAACCGCTATGATGTAGCTTGGAGTTATGGTGGAAGATATTTGAGATTCGAAACTGATAGCTATCTCAATTTACTTTCGAAAGCTTCCCTTGTCTAATAATTTTCGGAGATGATAAAAAGAGGTGTTCCCACTATTTCAAAATTCAAGGATTGTGATTTGCCTGAAGCCCCTTCTTCCTAGCATTTGTCACTTATACTTTAGTTTCTGACTTTTCTTGCAGGTGGTATTTCAGTTGATGAGAGTGGCAATCGCCTTTTCCTTTCTGACTCCAATCACCATAGAGTTATTGTACTAGATGGCAATGGAATGATTTTAGACTCTGTACGTGTCAGGCTTGCATGGGTGGCTTCATGATATTTGATGATTATATCGTACTGCTAAAGCATAACTGGAATTGCTAATGCAAACATTATCATTTTTGACATAGATTGGTTCTTCTCCTGGTCATGAAGATGGAGAATTTGAATATGCGAAGTTAAAGCGTCCGGCAGCTTCTTTTTATCATGCCGCTGAGGACTGCCTATACCTTGTGGACTCGGAGGTAATAGCATTGAAGCTCTTTATGTTTCTTATGATATCCTATCTCTCATTGTCTAATTTTGTTGGTTAAGAGGGATAAAAAAACGTAAAGAAAAGGAGGTGGGGGTGCTTGATATAGCAAAAAGTGAAAAATAAAACAACTCCATCACACATGATTTTTGATCTTTTGGAATGTCCAAATTGCTAACTCACTTGCAGAAAAAAAATCAGCTGTTAAAGAGCTACTCTCATTTAGTCATTCATTTCTTAAAGCATCATGTGCTGTGTTTCATCTCAAACTAACTATGAGAATATTCTAATAGTCAAAATTGTCTTTCTTCTTGCCATAAGAGTATTATATACATGAGACTCATTTGTTAATCGTTCTATGTCCCTAAATGTTATATAACGGGGATAGAGGGAGTAAAAACGTTCGGCAAAAGAACATTAAACTGAATTAATGAGTGTCGCAGAAGCATTAAGCATAATTGCGATTTTATTTGTGTATTAGCAAATACAGCCTGGCTTAAGCTTGCTATTGATAAGCGAGTTGAGCTCGTACCAGCTCAAGTTTGGCTAGTTTAAGTTACCGAATTCTTCTTTTCAAACTTTTACATATTTATATTTTGTTAAAAATAAAAGCAAAGGTATACATTAATTGAGTTATTTGTTGGCAATTTGTTTTTGAACAAGTCAATATATCTTTTCTAGTTGCTAGTGTGGAAAGATTTTAATGTTCAGGTCCTATCTAGTATTAGTTTGGAATAATATTTTGTTCTAGTTTTTCCCTACATAATTTTAGATATGCATAAATCATATAAAAAAGTTAATGAATTTTTTAATAGATAATTTGAGCTACAGTAAAGTGATTCAAGCTCAGCCTTGTTTACTTTATCCAGAGAAGCTCAGTTTTCTGAATTTATTGGGTTGAGCTTTTAACATAAACATGAACTCAAGAACTTGGATTAGCTGACCTTGATTACGTGTTTACACCTCTATTTTAAGTGAACTTTGTGAAAGAGAGTGGTAAAAGCAAGGCAAGTGTGGTTTTGCAAGTTTTGACTGATGTAGTTTGTCTCTTTCATCGGCAAATGAGTCTGCAGTCATTCTTAGACTTTTGGCTGCATTACATGGTCACCTGAGTTTGAAAAGGAACTGTCAGTCCGCTCAAAGTGAATCTCCTTATATCCCTTTTGGTTCTTTTGAAGATAACATCCATCTTCTTCCTAAAGAAAGTCTACCTTATACTAAATTACAAAAGATAGCATGGCCCCACCTTTAGTTTTGTCAATGTAAGCGTTTTTATTTCTCTATTAACAACCACGATGTAGCAGGGAGTCCTACATGTTCCCCATTTGATCCTACAGAATACACAATTTTCAATATTTCTCTTAATAGTCAAATGAAGTAGAGTAGAAACTCAGCATTCAAATTATGATTCAGAGTGTAATACACTAATACCTGTGCTCCTCGCTTCACCATGAGGTTTATTGTTGTTGAGTTAGCCCTCAATCTACAGTTCTCACCTACAAGTATCACACTTTCAGTTTTTTTTTTTTTTAAATGTCAGTTAACCTTTTTGGGAAATCATTGGGTTTGTTGTTGTTGTAGTTAACCTTTTTAGGTTAATTGACATAAAAAACTATACCAACAGATATTCTGTCAAATGGGATATAGAATGATCTTGAGATACTATGTTACTCAAGACATTATGACTTCCATGCATCTCCTTTTTTTGATACTTGAGTAATAGAATGTTCTACTGCTTTACAGCCTTGAGCTTTTTGTCCTAGTGGTTGAAGACACTTATTAGTTCATTAGGCTTCCCTGTTATTTCATAACGCTAACAAATGTGCCCCTGGTGTGAAAGAATCATGCTATTAGGAGAGCTGATATGGGGAGGAGGGTTGTGGAGACTTTGTACCCAAGAAGCAAAACAAATAAAAATAGTAGCATTTGGAGCTGGATATTGGGGAAGCTTTGGCCTGGAAACGATCTAAATGCACAGTCTGAAGAATTGCAGCCGGACACATTGCTGTTTCCGTGGCACATGCTGAATTCTCCAAATGGCGATCTCCTCATTTTAAACCGCAGGTAGATACAACAGCTGGTCCAATTATCTTCCAAGTTATAAGTCTGCAAATGCTTTATATTATTTCTCCCTCACCAAGTTCTAACCTCTAATTCAAATGCAAGGCACATCACACATATTTTGCACGAAGATTTTGTAAATTAACCTAGAAGACTAGCTCTGAAACTTTTTCTATTTCGTTTAATTGGTGAAGTGTAAAGGCATAGTCTTGCTTGTTGATGTTCTGATTCAGCAATAGGAAACAAGAGTGCCCTTTATTGGTTCTAACAATCTATAGGAAATGGATCTTCATCTTTTAGAAAGCACCGATTGTCGAACAATAAGGAAAAGAAAATGAAGCAATAATCACATGATGGATGCAGGGAACATAACTTGTTTTTGGAATTCCTGCTTGCTTTTTCTTCAATTGCAAATCGGATCAAGACGACCGCAACAGCAATGCCTTAAATCAAGCTAGTTGTGATCGGTTATACGAATCATCACTATCCATTTCGCTCAATTTGAATTCGTTTCACTCCAATATTAATAATTTAAACTCTTTAGTAATAGAAGTTCTTTACATCTTCTGTTAACATACAAATGCCAAGTAGTTGGTTTCGCCTACATGGATCTTCCCATTATCCAATACATTCTGTTTTTTCACTAAATTTGCATGAATTCTACGAGACTGTAGGTTTTTGGGCCAACTTCCTTATGTGATTTTGGTCTACCTCGTTCCCTTTTAACACCTTTGTTGTCATGGTTTCATACCTACGAACCGGTGTATCTGGATGTCTGTGTAGGACATGACCAAACCATCTCAAATGACCTTTTCTCATTTTATCTTTTTATGTGCTACTTGCACTTTCTGCCGTGTATGGTCAGTTTTAATCTTGTTTAATCTTGTGTGTTCGTACATCCATCTTAATATTCCCATTTCTACAATATTCATTTTGTTGATATTCATTTAACACTTCATTTTTGTCCTCTTGACTGGTTCTGGCATTTTGTTCAATTTCTATTATTTTGTTCTTGGAAACATTTCAGTATATATTCTAAATTTTCAAACCAAACTCTGTAACTGTTTATCTGGTCATAGCTCTTAAACTGTGTGATCTATCTGTTTTTAGGTCTTAAGCTTTATAATTTTTTTTCCGGTGGCATAACTAGGTATGTTTGTATCACATAACCAGTTTAAGAAATTGGAAATGATCGGAACATATGCCCGATATTGGTTTTCATTTTTGTTTGAAAAGAATATTTGACCCGAACTGGCCAACATTTCATGAACTTAGAAATTGCATATGATGAAGATGAACAAGTTTGTCATCTTGTCTCTTTGGTCCCTTGAAGGAAAATGGAATAATAGAAGCCCAAACATTCTCTTTCCAACTTATATTTTGCAAAATTTGTTTCTGGATTTTGAAATTAAATATCTTGATAATTTCTGCACTTGTATATGTAAAATTCTATGGTTTGAGCTTTGGGGTTGCCCTCACTTGAAATCTTTTTGCATGCAGCTGCGAGACATTGTGGATCATGGATTTAGCCTCTGGTGTTATCAGAGAGGTTGTTAAAGGTATAGAAATTATTTCCAAAAATGGTCTTAATTTTCTCTACTCTAACAGTTAGCCTTGTCGGTTGTTGACTCACCCATACTCTAAAAGGATTTTCAAATATTTTGGAGATCTGTGAGCCATTGATCCTGGAGAAGTCTACGCTTTTGAATCAAATGCCTAGTGATTGGTTGCAGCAGCAAGGAGATGCAAATTACTCATCAAAGAGAATTCCATATCTTGAGCTTATGTCTTCTGTCACAACTTTTCAGGATCAGATGCTCATCTGTGATACAGGTAATCATGTCTTAATTGAATGCATCCGTTGTAACTTCTGCTTTGTTTGATTCAACTATTGATTTGTGCTTATCTGAAGTTGGTCAGACTGTATTAAAACTCAATAGAGACTCGGGTTCTATATCAAGCTTCCAGATCTCTAATTTGGGGATCCTTGGGTTTCCTTACTGGTCCTCATCTCCTCTTGAACGAGTATGTGCTGCGTAAGTGTAACAAATTAAAGAAGTTCTAGTCATTGTTCTTTTCTGCTTTCTCTGGGTGATTATGTTAATTTACTGTGTCGATTTCTGCTTATGTTACAGTGATGAAGCATTGGCAGCAAATCCCATGGATCACCTAGAATCTTTCAACTTGTTGCCAGGTAGTAAAAACCTATTGGTTACATGTAGTCTAAATAATAAGTGAAAAAGCTTTTGTCTGGAAAAAATACTTATCTTTCAGCTGTTTATCATTACCTATATTTATGTACCTTCAATTTTGTATCTTCTTTTTCTGGATCAGATTTTCTTCCAAGAATTTGGTTGTAATTTTTTATAAATTTTGATTTGTTCCAAAGAGGAATTTTTCTTTTTTTGATTTACTCCAGAGGATGAGACTAGAAATTACTACATAAGTAGTTAGGTAAATATTAAAAATAATACTTTAAATGTAAATGGAGTATGTTGGATCAAATTTACTTCTGAAGTGGCTTTGGAGGTACAATCTGGAGGTTAATGGTTTGTGGAGAAAGGTCATCTTGGTATGGATAAAATGGGCAACGGTACTCTAACACTGTTAACAGTCCCTATGGGGTTGGGTTATGGAAGTCAATTAGACTTCACTGGAATACTTTGGCTTCTAATACCACCATAAGGGTAGGTAATGGAAGGAAACACTTTTCTGGAGTGATAATTGGTTAGGGCATGGCCCTCTCAAAGAACTATTTCCTGATTTTTTCAACGTTGCAACATCACCTACAGCCACATTAGATACAGCTTGGGGACAACAAGGATGGAATGTTACTTTTAGGAGGGCTCTGAATGACTGGGAACTAGAGGGTTGTGGATTTCTTTAAGATCTTGGGAGAACTTCAAGGTCTCAGAGAATCTGAAGATAAACCTTGTTGGAGCCTTCGCAGGGATGGGAATTTTACAGTTAAATCTGCATATACCTTCATTTTTATTCCAAACCAACGGTTAGAACAAATATATTTGGGAAGTCAAGGCACCTTTCTAGGTAGTATGCTTTCCATGGTTAGTGGCAAGAAAGACTTGTCTAACCCAAGAGAACTTGAGAAGAAGAGGTTTTCAGCTATGCTCTAGGTGTTTATTACTATGTGGTACAGCAGTAGAAACTAATAGCCATTTGTTTCTTCGTTTCCTTTCACTGACCAACTGTGTCAGCTCTTTCTTAATGGGCCTTAAATGGAGCATGCCAGCAAACATTGTAATCTGCTGAGGGGTATAATGAGACAGAAGAAATGTTGGAGACTGGTTCCTGCTTGCATATGGTGGACAGTCTGGAAGTAGAGAAATTTAAGAATTTTTGAAGACAGAAGCAACTCTTTACAGAACATCAATATGAAGTGTTTTCTTTTGATTCATTTCTGGTGTTAAGAAAGCTATGTAGAGGAGGCAGAACCTCTAGTAGACCTGATCGGTGCGCTGTGATCTTAGGCGGACATAGCTGGTTTTTGTTTTCCTTGTAAATATAGCTTGGCACTGCCTTAGTGCTGTTTTTATTTTCTTAATATACATGTTACCATTTTTAAAAAAAAAAAGTTTGTTAGATCAAATTTGAAATAATATAAAGTTACCTTTGACGACCAATTTTATGTGATGGGCAGATGGACGAAGCAGGGGTTTAAAATGTTAATCTGACTAGTGTGTTATACTATCAAAGTTTACAATTGAACGATTGATGACATTGAATTGTTATGCGAATTGTATTTAATGATGTTATTAGTATTTGATAACACTTTGAGATGTCCCAAATTGAAAAATGCATTACAAAGAAGGAGATTAGTTGTTGGATTGTCACAGCTTCCTGTTGAACAAGTAGTTTTATGGATCAATAGAAAAAGAGAAAGTAGGCCAAGTATTTCTAGATCGAGGAGTACTGTATGATAACATCGCTGCTTCATTTCTGTAACAGGTAGAGTTGACATACGCCTGAATGTAGATATTCCAGAATATGTTGATCTAATCGAACCACTGAGTGAAAATTGCGTATGGAGGCAAGTTAGAGGGGCAGCAACTGAAATATCCGAGGCAGACAGCACAATTACGTCTTCAGAAAAGGTTTCTAATGCTTGGACCTTTTAATCTCCATGTATTTGTATCGCCCATAAATTCGACTTCCCTCATTCCAAGCTGATTTTTCCACTTTTCATTTTTGTGAAGTTCCAAAATAATTTTCTAAAAAAGAATGTTGGTACATACCATGTAGCACAAATAGTTGTGGGACCACTTTAATAGGTAGAATATAGTCCAACATTTTATCTCAAATACTAAATAATTCACTTTTTCGACTCCTCTAATAGCAGTACAAAGTCGAAGCAAGAGATCTAATTTGGGATGAATGCAGTATTAGGTAGCGAGCACTTCAAATAGTGCCTCATTTCAAGTAGCTTAAAGAGTTAAATTGATGTGGATATGCAGGTTGGTGTTGCTCAGCAATGGTATGATGAAATTGACCACCTTGCCTTTTCAACACCGGAAATAGAATCAGCCATAGAAGAGGTAAGTGTGAGTCGTGGTGAAGAAATTCCACAAGGGAAAATCGAGATCAGTTGCTCCATTAATACAAGTCCTGGAACAAGCGAGGTATGTTTTTTCCCACACAATTTTGCTTTTGATTCTGAATTACTAAGATTCTCCAGGATTTATGTGAAATTTCTCGCTTAAGTTGTTTAAAATGTTAAACATTTCAGTTAATTGGTATTACCTGCATTTCATACTGAATTTTGGCGTAGAAAAATGATGCTTTACTCATTATGTGATTGTTTTCATTTCTCTGGTTTCCCCACCAGGTTATCATTTGTGCTGCAGCATATTTGAGACTGAAAAAGGATACAGATGTCTGTAGTGAAAGTAGACAGAGGAAAGCAGCCAGGATAGCAGATCTGTTGAATCAGGGGAGGACAAGGGTAAGCAGAGATGTTATAGTCCAGTTCTTGCTGACATCAAAAAGAGATCTAGAAGAAGTCATCATAACGAGACCTATACATGTGAGACTCAAGTTTGATTGTCCAAACCACCCAAAAGCAGATAATTCCAAAGATATAATTTTGACTGACACCTCTTTAAATGTGAATGTTGCTCTGAGTAACATCTAACAACTAGTGTATGGATGACTCTTAATGATATCTATGCCTCATCATCTTGAAGGCCAAATTGTGCACACCTCGACTATTTCACCAGTACAGGTATCGGATAACTCCGATCTGTGCTCATTATTTTGTATGAATATGTGAGTTGTTTGTTCTATTTTCTAGTGGCTTTTCTATCAATGTATTAGTATGTTGTTATATTCCTAGACGATGTACCGTTTTCTTCTGTTTAGTCGACTCCATAATATCTGTATGAAGCTGTAAAATTAATAGTTCTACTATGGAGAAAACCTTTCCCTCTCTAAATGTACAGGTTTCAAATGCATAATTCTGAACTGTTCGCCTGTTAGACTGCTATATTTTGGCGAGTGTGGAGAGGGTTGGGTTGCTCATCTGAAAATTTCACTTTTTTATATATATTCTTTTTTATTTTCCTACAGGGTAAGACTTAAAAAATATTCAAACTATGAATATTGAGAAACAATTACCGCCGTTTTAAATTGTTCTTGTACTTGTTATGGTTAGTATTGGTCTCATATTTGTATGATCTGCCTTGACTTAATGACGTTTACAAGGAAAAGTTTGGATGGATTATGATGTCCAATGTAGATAATGTATGTTAAAACTGTTGAATGAGGTAATTAAAGCCCTCGAAACTGAATATCACAGAAAATTGATCCTACACTATCCCAATTTCGTACTATTAGTCCCTATACCTTGATAAGCTATCACACAAGCAGTTACTTCGGCACACGGTTAGTTTAATTATTTTAACTTTTTTCTTTTAAAAGTTACGTAAACCTCCTATTTCCAAGCATTTTTTAACCTCCTGTTATTACTCTATTTATTTACACTTACTATATTTTCCCCAAGCCAACAAAATGAACACGCCCTGTATTTCCATCTTCACCCAAACTTGCTTAGTAGTATGCTTAGGCCTCCAGATACCTCTCTCCCTAGTCTGGAAGTGTTTTGTCCTAGGATGTTAGTGGCTCTTGTTGTGTCATTATTCCATTGCGTTTGTGGTACTGTGCCATTGTTACTGCTTAGTGTTAGTACTTGTCCCTCTATTTTCTGGTTATTACGTTGCCGGTGTTGTCTTTCTGGATTCCTTTGTTCTTATTGTGCCGAGGGTCTATCGGAAACAGCCTCTCTACTGCTCCCGAGTAGGGGTAAAGTCTGCGTACACACTATCCTCACCAGAATCCCACTTGTGGGATTTCACTGGGTTATTGTTGTTGTTGTTGTTGTAACGGTAGGCTTGAGGAAGCATGGGATTTGATGGAGGAAATGGAAGAGAACCATCTAAGTGATGGGTGCTCTACTGGTGCCTGTCAGTTGCATGGAAACATCAAAATTGAAAAGATGATAGGAAAGCGAAAATAGATCTCTACTGCTTCTGTTGCACTGTCTAATGTTTATGCAGCAGCTAGGATGTGGATTGAAGTGTAGAGTGAGAGTTGGAGCAAAAAGTCATGCTGATGGAGAAGTTGGTTTTAGCCGCATAATGCACAAAACTTCGGATACGAAATTCTTAGACAAGTGCTTTTTTTGCCCTTTCATATAGTGGATAAAGCATTATTAGTGTTTTTGCAATGAGCAAATTTATTTCAAGGTGCAACATTTCCTTTGGTTATGCATAGTAGGAGAACCTTTGGCTGCTTCCTTTTCATGACTTGTCTGAGTCCTGCTTCCATGTTGATTGACTTCTTGAAGGCTTGGCCTAGATATTTTATGATGTATAATATCAATTGAATATTTTGATTACAACTTTTTGACTCATTGTTTCATAATTCTTTTGTTGTTATAAAATATAATTATAGTGGATGTCCATAACCACCAAATGAGTAATACCCACTACTCTACTCCATTATCTCCATAACTCTCACTACTCTAATACTTATGGAGTTATGGTTGTAACTCCCATACCTCCCCATGATCTTCCACTATGATCTCAAATGCTTAATGGCATATTTATGGAATTCTTTTGGTATATCTCTATGTAGTACTATAAATAGAGGATGAGAAGTCATTTTGTAATACACTTGAAATACTTGAAAGAAATAAGAAGCTCTCATCTCTTGCCCTCTACATTCTTGTCTATTTTCTTGTTTCATATTATTACTTTGAGCTAAGTTTCTTAACACGTTATCAGCACGACTTCTAACCAACTTAGGATGTGTTCCTCAATTGAGGGATGTTCACGAAGAATAAAGCATGGTCAGGTCTTGATAAGTCTTTCCCGAAGGCTTAGTGGTATTACACAATTAGTGACGCCAACACGGTACAAATGTTCTTCGGTAAGAGTTAGGTATGTAACCAATTTATTTTACTTTGATTTGGCAAATGGGAATGATTTTGTAATGAACCAAACGTATGAATTATCTCTTTACTGGTTTTACTAAAATTGGCCTTGGCTATAAGTATTTTATATGTGAATAATTTAAAATTGATATACCCACGTTTGTTAAGAGAAAAAAGGCGTCTGATTTAACTAGTCTTATGTTAGTTTGCATTTGAATTTTACTGATTTTTACACTAGTTGGCTTGAACAAGTGTATTAGCCTCATTCATTATTTGTCTCATCTTTCTTATAGGTACTGAAATGTTAATGCATGATATATATAGTACTATATCTAACTATATGTTTTGATAGATTTATATACAGTATATTAGTATATGATTATGTACTGGATCGAAAATTTTATTTCTTATATTTCTTATCATTTTCAATTCACTTATTTTAATGATAATTTTACTATGTCGAATTTATCAAAATTTAAATTTATGGCTATGTAAAGTTATGTTCTATTTTCGAAGTGAGTGAGATAAGTTGTAACAAATATTATACGGTGGGTTCAAGTCCCAATGCACCATGAGGGTAAGACATCGGGTTTTGAGTCCTGATGCTCCATGATGATAAGAGTTGGGTTCGAGTCCCAACTCATTTTGGCCTAATATGCCTTTATATGGGTAATGCATTGAGTTTGAGTCCCAATGCACCATATTGATGATATAATGATGACTAAAGAAAAAGTATATTTTTTATGAAATGTCCCACTTGATTTGCTCCATTCTTGAAGTGAATGTGATAGCGGTGCAAAATAAGTCTAAATGAAGACAAGTGGTTGTTCAATGAAAGTGCGTGTGCCAAAGACCAAAATAATAATAGTCATCATTATGGTAATTGTAAAAAGGAGAACAATAAGGTTTCTCAATATAGTCCTTCAAAAGGTGAAGGAAATATTTACCATCAAATTGGTATGAAAAATTTATAAAGCACGTCGCGATAATTATACTCCATTCTTTGAAGAGAATGTGACTTGTGATAAGCATTGAGAATGCAGATTCATTCCTGAAGGTGAATGTAACAATATGTGATAAAAGTAATGAATAAAGACGTGCAATGCATGATTGGATACACACCACAACTCACCTCTAAGGGAGGTTTGAGAGAAAGAAAGATAATGAATATTACAATATGGTTACATGAATATGCCATTGGTCGCGTGCATGTGGTACGCCAAAAATATTTTGATATGCCTTATAAAAGGTTATTAAAGGCAAAATTAAAGCAAGAAATGATTTTGTTTATGATGATTTTGACCATGACAATTATTATGATATGATTTTCTCCGTGAAGGAGACATTCACCATATGGATGGTGTGACAAAAGATCTTGTAGTACAAAATTAATTAAGAGCTCCGGAAAATATAATTCTACCCGGATGAATGAAATTGTTCATGACATTGATATTGTAGTAAGTCTCAAAAGAAACTTTTTGAATTTCAAATGTATTAACCAAAATGGTTGGCATATTGAGACTATAAATGAAAAGAAGATTGAATATCTTCATATTACTATAATCATACCGGGTAAATATGAAAGGTTACCCGATTTTTCTTCTATTTGTATTACACATGTATAAGCATGATGATGGAATCACATGCCACAAGTAAACTAGAGGTTTACTGAAACAAAGATTAGTTGGCATGAACGGTTGGCCATCCCGGTTCAATTATGATGCGAAAACTGCTTGAGAATTCACATTAGCATATATTGAAGAAATAGAGATTCTTCAAAAAATTCTCTTGTGCTGCTTATCCTCATGATATACCAGTTAAGGTTGGTGATAGATCTTAAATACTCTTGCCTTATGTTTTGATGATCTAACAAACTTTCTGATAAGAACCACTTAGGGAACCTGACCTACTTTGGATTGCTGCAAACTTCAACGGACTCCAGTAAAAGATGAACTGCTACAGATTCAGAAGCTAGGAACCAAACAAGGACCTGATGCTCCTGTGGTTCCTATATAGCAGTACAGAGTCATTTGGACACAGCTGGAACTGAAGTGACTGACGGTACTGTTTCTGCCGCACTGCACCACACTGTCAGCCCACTCATTATCTAACCAAACAAAGTACTCACATCATTTCAAGTGATGTGATCAAGATGTACCAAAGGGGCTTTATACAAAAAAATCACTGGAAGGTTTCTGTTTCTCATTCAAGCCTTTAGCAAAAAACAGAAAAGATCATTCTCTCAAGCTTGAAGAACAAGGTTGAACGCCACTACGGACCAGTTCCTAAACGATTGATTATTGCTGTCCTAGTTGAGTTGTAACCTTGTTATTGCACTTACAATATCTCCTAAATTGCTCACTTAGAAGTTTACTGATTAGGAACTCTCTTGTAAATCCTCAGACTCGTTGAGTTTAGGTTGTGGCTAGATTTAGTCATAAAGAAAAGTCTTAGCAATCGTAGTATTGCAAAATGGCTTGTGGTGATAGCACCACAAGTTAGAAAAAGCCTTTGTAACTAGGATAGTCACAAAGTGGCTTGTGGTAAAGGTGCCACAAGTTAGTTTGAAGTCTTTACAATCGAAAGCATTATAAAGTGGCTTGTAATAGGTAAGATTACAAGTTAGTGAAGTTAAAAGCCTACAGGGTAGGTCGTGGTTTTTGATCCCCTTGTGCGGGATTTTTCCACGAAAAAATCCTCTGCCTCATTTACTTACTGCCTTACTAAGTGCTCTCGGCAGAAACTTGTAGAGGACCAGGTACTCTACGATTTGGTGGACCTATACAAGTTAACAATTGGTATCAGAGCGGGTTCCTCCTATCAGGCTTACACCTAGGAAGGATCCTCATGACGGCTCCACTAAATTTTGAAGAAGGTCAATCCATATATCACCCACCCAAGTTTGATGGAAAATGCTATTGGTGGTGGAAAGCTAGAATGCATGATTTTATTATGGCTGAGGATTGTGAGATTTGGGATGTTATCTGCGACGATCC